TTTTCAAACATGTATAAGAAGAAAACATATATATACAAGTATATGTAATACTTTGAAATACGACCTCTTTCAAAAGCAGACTATAAAAATGATTTTTCTTTTCTCCCCTCTAAACAAGATAATTATATAGATGAATAAAATCGTGTTATGGAATACCTCCCTTACAAATTATGGACATTTCAAATGACATGACAATTTACGTTATACCTTCAACAGATTATCAACATGTGCATAATTCTATAAATCATGAACTGTTCTTACTTAAAAATGTATTAACAATTATCAAATAGTGCTACCTTTTTAACAAATAGACTTTATTCCAGAAACACAACGTAAAACTTGAATATCAGCATTGTTGACAGTTCTCTTTTAAGAAGAGTATCACATTAGGATAGATAACTCTCGTCACAAAATGGTCAGATGACCCTAATTTATTTCCTGATGAATATCTAATAATTTAGAACATTTACAGTTACTATTATATATCACAAAGTGAATATTTACAGACATTATTGGACGATTCAGACGGCGCTTTCTTCTGTCATTTTTCATGTTTAAAAACACAGAACTTTGGAACTACTTATTTGTATTTCAGTCTGGCTTTTTATGAATGTATATTTGTTTACATTTAAACTTTCAGGATTTCTTATTTATGTAAAAATAATTGTAAGCCTGATTTGAGCCGGATGATTTTCTGTCATTATCATATTTTATTAAATGAGAACTGTATTATATCTGCGTAATGGAATACGCCTGCATATATTACTACGCTGGAGTATTTTGGACCGGCTTTTTGTTAATATGTATTTTTAAATGTTTTTTTCAGATATGTTTATGTGGCTTTTCAATTAATAGACTGATCACTGGACCTAGTCTTAAGCCGGGATTTTCATTGGCTGGAGCACTCTTTGTAGCGTCCCAAAAGTTTATAAATAGGGGTGACTGTCGTCATTTGGTATCTTCTTCTCAACCGTAACAACTTGAGAAGTACCAAAGCTACAAAGCTTAAATTCTTTGAGCCTTAAGTCACATTAAGTCTGACATATATTTCCTGCAACCACTTACTGGCTTACTTACAAGGTATCTACTATATATTGGATAAATAATAACTTACCTTTATTTGCTGAGCGTTAAGCTATCCAGTACTATCGTAAACAACAACAGTTTACTTACAGAAGTCTATTACAAATTCATTTGATGCTGAACCTAATATGAATTATCACGTTATGGCAGACCCTAAAAGATGCATTGGTCTTAGAAATTTCCAACATCCTGTCATACTTTACATTTATGTGTAACTAAATGTTCATAACCGAAAAAGATCCCATTGCATAAGCCTAGGTCCTCTATTGTCGAGTATTGTCAATGCCGGTATTATATCCATCGAAGAAGAATTGTTCATGCCGATATTAAATCGTTTATATCGATAGATCTACGTCACAGAGTAGTATTGTCAGCGGATATCATATACATATTTATTGAGATGCACTTGTTATATATGATGTCACATTATTAAATGACGTTTACATGTTAATCGAGTTACTGATGTCTTGTACCAGTTTCCTGTGTAACCAATGCAGGACTTACCTATATTTGTACACTCTATCCTAAGTAATAGGTTGTATAAATCCTGGTTATATAAATATCCTGACAAGATGACCAGATACTTACATGTACAAAGGATCCCTTGATGAAACTATGATGTCTCTATTATGATCTGAGTCTACCTCTTATGATGTATTGGTATACTACAAAGATGGCTAAGATGTGTTAAAGCTATGTCTGATGTTTAAAACAACAGCTACTTGTAAGTGTATGTAATATGGGGTAGAAGTATTGCCATACACTTACTAGTTAATACAGTGGCCGGTATCCTGATTAATAAGGATTTGGTAACTACCCTAGGGGGGTAGGTCCTTACAACTTGGTGTCAGAAGTGGGATATCCTTTTCTTACAGGGTATCCAGAGACGAACTCACACTTGGCAGACATAGCTTAGTCAGATGGTAGAATCTTGGGATGATAGAGTGGCGGGTTCCAGACACATATTATACTAACTATATCGTTTACTTTTAGATATTCAGATGATTGTGACATCACTTGCTGAGACAGTAACTAGACAATAGAAGGCGTATGCAGTGGTATTATTTTTAGTCTTTGGCAAAGGACCTTGTCAAAGACACATAACTAATGTATATATGTTATTCTTTATTTTTTAAGATCAAACATGGCAGATTCTGATCCTGAAATACAATTTAATACAATGAATAGCTGTGATGAAACAATAGAGGCAGCACATAATGATGACAGTGGAAATGAGGCAGAACAAACAGCATATTATACTTTACCATCAGCAACTGACACTGACGAAGATGACGAAGAACCGAAGGACAGTCAACAACGTTGTAATACTCCTATGCGGAATGATAATGTAAATAGCAGCTCTGGGCAGGGAGATAATCCTGAAGAGAAATCGAATGGAACCAGAAACAGTACTAGGAGATCTGGACGAAGAGTCAATTTTAATGAGGAAATTGGTGATGACGAAAACCAATACCATGGCCTGAACAATAGACGAGGAAGGCGAAGATATATCCGTAAACCTGAGAATATTGAACAATATTCTGATTCCGATGAAGACGACATTGACGAAAGACGGGTACATCGTAGACGAATTAAAGTAAACCGCGATAGTAGAAGAGAGCGTTACAACACCGAGGAAATATCTAACCGAAATTATGAGCTGGACACAAATGATAATCAAAGCAATATAAGTAATAAAAGAAACAAACCAAATCTTCCTGTAATTAAACCAACAATTTATGATGGTACCGAAGACTGGGAAAGTTATTTTTCTCATTTTTCTAATTGTGCAGATCTGGGTAGGTGGTCTAATGAAGAGGAGGTACTTGCTTTAGCTTCTTGTCTGAAAGGTTCAGCAATAACATTTTATTTAGGTTTGCGTCCAAAGGAGCAAAGAGTTTATGCAATACTGGAGCAAAAATTGTCGTAACATAGGTGAAGCGGTAACATCATATGGTGATGATCTAAGACTACTAGCTCGAAGGGCGTATCCTGATCTTGAAACAGAAGCTCTAGAGTCACTTGCACTTCACCAACTTTATAAAAATATCAGCCTAGACTTAAAGTATAGATGTATGGATAGAAATTGTAGCACAATAGAAGAAGCCGTGGAGATAGTGGAAAGATGCGAATCAATATTGGGACCAGACGATAGAAAGCGATCAACTGTACGCAATATAGCAAGCAGCGAAACAAGAAATGTAGCCGCAAACAACAAGACTTTAGTTGAAAGTGAACTAATGAGTCAAATGCACAACATCTTAAACAGACTTGAAAAAATGGAAACAAAAATTGAGAAGGCAAGCTTAGCTGAAAAAGACGACAGAAAAAGAACTGGTAGATATGACCGAAAGTTTACGGGGTGCTTCTTATGTAGCGGAATGGACCACTATGCGAAGGACTGTCCAAGGCGGGGTCAAAAGTCGGAAAACTACAAACCGCTAGTTTAATGGGCCAAACGCTAGCGGGTGATGTTTGGCCAGATGATGTTATAAATTTGTATAAAGAAAATGAAAAGAGAGTTGGTCATTTACTTAATTCTGGTATTTGGGATAATGGTCTTTATACTTGTTGTACAATTTTTGGTAAACAAGTCAACATGTTAGTAGATAATGGTTCATCTGCTACACTACTTTCAAAGAATATTTATTTGTCAATAGAGTCTGAAATCAGGCCAGAGCTTAGTCATATCGATAATACAATGCAAGGTGCAAACGGTCATGGTATAGAAATCTTCGGAATGGTTAATACAACACTTCAGTTAGGGAATGGCAACTTTGAGGTATCTATCATTGTTTGTGATATTGTTCCAGATGGTATTCTTGGTCAAGACTTTCTTCTCTGTAATGCATCAAATATAGATTATAGAAAATCTATCATATACACTGATAAAACACCTATATCTTGTTGGATTGGTGGGCAAGCTGAAGCCAGATGTAGAGTCCTGACATACCGTGAAGTGACGATACCTGCTTCATCTTTCGTACAAACACCTGTGAAAATAGAAAATGTTGGTTCATTAGCTAATCTCGCAATCATAAGCACATCAAATTCACTAGTATACGGAAAGTCTACGGTAGCTGTCGAAGGAGTTTTAGAGCCTCACACTGAAGAACCATATATTTTCATTGTAAATACCAGTGACTCGGACAAAGTAATACCAAGGAATGTACCTGTGGGAGTATGCGAATCATACTATGAAGTGAAAGATGCACCTATAATTGCAAATAGAAACATAAACATAGATGCTCACACAGAAAATGAAAATAATGAAATACCTACATATCTTCAGGACCTTTTTGATAGAAGTAAAACTGAACTAACAGATGATCAAGCTGACCAACTATCTAAATTACTAAAACAATACAAACACATATTTGCTAAATCATCAGATGACTTAGGTATGAATAAATCAGTACAACACAAAATTAATACTGGTTCAGCCGCACCAATACGTCAACCACCTAGACGGCAACCCCTGGGCAAAAGAGATATAGAAAAGCAAGAAGTAAATAAAATGTTAAGTAAAGGTGTTATTGAGCCTTCGATAAGTAACTGGTCGTCCCCTATAGTTTTGGTCACAAAGAAAGATGGTTCAACAAGATTTTGTGTTGTATACAGACGCCTAAATGATGTTACCGTGAAGGATGCATATCCTATTCCGCGTGTCGATGAATGTTTAGATGCTCTCTCAGGTTCCAAGTGGTACAGTTGTATGGATTTAAATAGTGGATTTTGGCAAGTTGGATTAGCCCCTGAAGATATGCATAAAACAGCATTTTCAACATGCCTTGGTTTATATCAGTTCACGGTTATGCCGTTCGGGCTTGCAAATTCTCCGTCCACATTTGAGCGTCTCATGGAGAATGTTCTTAGAGGTCTTCATTGGGAAGAATGTCTAGTCTACATGGCGAGGGCTTAACGCGAAACTAGTGTATGTGACATTTTTAACAAAAATCACTTTTTTCTATAATCATGTTTAGAAATAACATATCTGTCCCCTGTATAAGTATTTTCTATGATTTCCAACATTAAATTAGATAATCTCATATTATGACAAATGATGTAAGTGAAAATGCTCCATTTTTTTAAATGTGAAACTAGACTAAGTGACACGGGCACTTACATCAGTTTCACATTCAAATTTTTCCCCTATCCATTTATAAGCAAAAGGTTTAAGTGATGAAAGTATGCAAAAATGTTTTAAATTATTTAATATTAAAAAGAATATGACACAATATTAGTGATTGTAAGCAAGATAGACAACATTTCATTGAAAAAATATGAAGGTTATAAAGCATATGTCACTTACACTGTTTTCATATTCACAATTCAAGTTTTCAAAGAGGTTTAAATATAAATTTAGTGTAAGTGTACTCACCACTTTACATGTGATTACATCATGAGTGATGTCATCAATTTTATAAAACTTTATGTTTTACAGTCACAATGTATGAAGATGAGTAAATAAATAAATACATTTATTTATTTCTTATTTTAATCGGTATTTATGTTAATCATGCCCAAAAACAACAACTTATTTTGATGTCAAAGAAGATTTACAGATTCATAAAAGGTAAGGTATATTTTACTTAATATATAAAGATTCTATATAAAATTTAAACTTTATTTGTTTTAAAATGATATTATATAATAGCTGCAATATACAAATATTTAAGATATTCAAAGAGTCAAAACAGCTAGATCTATACCAAATGAAAACTTCAGTAACAATTTAAAGTTGATACAATTACATTGTTTTCATAAGCTGATTATAAGTTCTCAAATAGAAGTTTTAATATATAAAATGTCTGTTATTTAACAAACATGAATAATTTGCATATGAATTAGAATAACAAGTTTCAGAACAAAATATGCCCCTACTTTTTTGTGTTGTGATTATTTGGTGCATGTTTCTCTCACTATTAATAAAATATAATTATGAACATTTTTCTTTCATTTTATATATTTTTAAATTTCAAACAACATATTCATCTGATAATTATGTACATATTAAAGCCTGTTGGGTTTGACAATTTTACAATGAATCTTACTTATAGGGAACTCACATACAGGGTACACAGGGTTATATCTTCAATTGGTCCCAAGTTTTTTCACTTCTTTATCTTATATATATATAACTTTGTTATCCCCCGCCGATGGAATCAGGAGGGGGATATAGTTTTGGTGTTGTCCGTACGTCCTTCCATCCGAATTTCGTTTCCGGACTAGTTCTCTGCAACTACTGGCTGGAATTCAACGGAACTTTATGGGAATCATCAATATCAAGAGGAGATGCGCATATCGTCGGCTTGTTCCGGTCAGACCCTTCAACTCAGAGTTATAGCCCTTGATTAGTTAAGTAGTATGCATATATAGAGTAAAAATCGTTTCTGCTCTACTTCTCTGCAACTGCTGGCTGGAATTCAACGAAACTTTATGGGAACCTTCAATACCACGAGGGGATGCGTATATCGTCGGCTTGTTCCGGTCAGACAATTTAACTCAGAGTTATGGCCCTTGATTAGTTATGCAGTATGCAGTATAGAAAAATATTCGTTTCCTCACTACTTCTCTGCAACTACTGGCTGGAATTCAATACAACTTTATTGGAACCTTCAATGCCAAGAGATGCGCATATTGTCGCCTTGTTAGAGTCAGACATTTTAACTTAGAGTTATGACCCTTGATAACTTAGGCAGTATACAACCAGAGCAATAATCGTTTCTGTGCTACTTCTCTGTAACTACTGGCTGGAATTCAATGAAACTTTATGGGATACTAAGAGGAGATGTGCATATAGTTGCCTTGTTCTGGTCAGATACTTATAACTCAGATTTATGGCCCTTGATTAGTTATTCAGTATGCATACATCTCATTTGCATTTCCAGATATTACTATTTAACACAAAGTTATGGCTCTGGTATTGCCCTGAATATTTATTATTATCACGGAGCCGTTAATACAAGGTCAAATGAAAAAGTAGACAATTAATAAATGTTTATCTTATTTCATCATTATACCCGTTCCTGAAATAAAATGCTTATGATTTACAATTATGTTGAAAAGGTAGAACTATGTGTATGCATTGTAAAACGACCAAAGCTAAAGTAGCATGTGATTTTAAAATTGATAAAAATATGAAGTTTTAACACCTATATAGTTACAAAGTTCTGAATTTGTAATGATTTGACTATACTTTTATAATAAGAATAAATAACAGTTATAAATATTAAATAGTCGATCAAGTGAGCAGTTCGTTTTATGTTTGCTATATATAAGATGTTCTATTTCCTTATATTGTATATCAGAAACCTCAGATATAGTAAACTAAATGTCATGGTCCGAACAAATTCCTTATAACCGAGTTTCACTGTATATGCATGTTCATGAACACACCTTTGCATGGAACAAATTCATGTTCATGGGAATATTTAAATTTTCATATGATTGCACTCTGAATGCAAAATGTTTGCAATACAATTACAAGTGCTCATTAAGTATCTTAATAGACTTTTATAACTTTCACTGCAGAATGTTATCTATACAAGCAACAAGACATCAGGGTGATGGAATCTTCAAGAGTGCAGGAAAACAATGTAAGGCAAATAGTCTTGCTTCCATGGTTTTTGCAACTGAAAAGTCACCTGCGATTTGGAAAACAAGTGACCTTGACAAAATCCTAAATGATGGGGATGACTTATATCAATCCCTATGTGTAGACAAGTATCTTCTTGTTAGCGAACTTCCAAAACAGACGTCTCATTTTCAGATGAAAATGTTGAATGCTTTTAGTGGAACTATAAATAGGGAAACAACAGAGGAACCATTTTTCAATTTGTTCGACTCTTTAAAAGTTATCAATGACTTTTGCTTTTTAACAGTTGCCTGTTACACTATGGCTGTTATAAAAACAAATGACAAATTTTATTTGTTCGATCCACACAGCAGAAATGAATGTGGGATGCCTTGTTCCGAAGGGATGGCTGTTTTGACTGGACACTCCTCTCTGGAAAACTTAATATGTTTTATTCGACACCTGTCATCAGTTCTTCTCTCATGCACTGAAGTTTGTTTTGAAATTAATCATGTTACAATACTTAAAGGTAAAGAGTCTGACTGCTTTTCAGATTCTTCAGATTCTTCTAGTGATTTTTCAGGTTTTACAACAATGAGTGAAGGTGAATATGCCTGTAATCTTTATTTGATAGAAGAAATGAAAAGTCAACTTTTATCTGAATCAGAATTATCTGATTCAGATGACACAGACAAGTCTGATTCTGAATATTCTAGTTTTAGTGATACTGAAAAAGATGATTTAAATACTGAGCTAGTTAATAATACGGTTGAAGGTTCTAAGTTATATGATGACATAGCCTGTGGGAGTATAAAGGGTGGTGGTCATGATGATAGAGTTGAGGTAGACACAGTTCTAGGAGAAAATATGGTTGAGAGATGCGAGTCAGATGGTGAATTATTTAGTAAGAGTGTTAAGGGTGGTAGTGATCTTGATAGAATAGAGTTTGATACAATGATGGGAGAGGATATAGTAGAGAGTTGTAGGTCAGATGGTGAATTAGTTATTGAGAATATAAATGGTAGTGGTGATGCTGATAGAGTTGAGGTAGATACAGTGCTAGATGAGGATATGGTAGAAAGTTGTAGGTCCAATGGTGAATTAGTTATTGAGAATTTAAATGGTAGTGGTGATGCTGATAGAGTTGAGGTAGATACAGTGCTAGATGAGGATATGGTAGAAAGTTGTAGGTCCGATGGTGAATTAGTTATTGAGAATGTAAATGGTAGTGGTGATGCTGATAGAGTTGAGGTAGATACAGTGCTAGATGAGGATATGGTAGAAAGTTGTAGGTCAGATGGTGAATTAGTTATTGAGAATGTAAATGGTAGTGGTGATGCTGATAGAGTTGAGGTAGATAAAGTGCTAGATGAGGATATGGTAGAAAGTTGTAGGTCCGATGGTGAATTAGTTATTGAGAATGTAAATGGTAGTGGTGATGCTGATAGAGTTGAGGTAGATACAGTGCTAGATGAGGATATGGTAGAAAGTTGTAGGTCAGATGGTGAATTAGTTATTGAGAATGTAAATGGTAGTGGTGATGCTAATGGAGTTGAGTTAGATACTGTGATTGATGAAACTTTGGTTAATCTTAATAACTCTTCTGAATTTCTTCAATCCATTAATATCGATACTTTTGATGACCAAAGTAGTAGTGACACTATAGATTATGAAATAGATCAGACCAATTTTAGTGATATAGAAGAAAGCATGCCTTTAAGCTTTGTTTCAAAGAAATATCGTAGGGTTCTTAGGGGTAGTAAACATAAAAGAATTTCTGTCACAACATCTACACCTAGGACAGTTCACAGAATAGAAAGTGCTAATAACATAGGTCAGGCAAGTAGTTGTGAATATGTCAAACAAAAGGAAAGGGGAAGAAAGCGTCTAAGGGATGAATCCAATTGGAAAGTAAACAAAACAAAAAAAAGACGTAATGAAGGGCTAAGCTATGTAAATAGATATGGTAAATTATTTAGAAAAAGAATGTTAAAGCCAGCATGTGGTGTAAGTTGTAGGTTTAGATGTTCAAAGCAACTGAGTGAAGAGGATAGAAAGAATTTGCTGCACTCCTACTGGCAGTTGGGGTGTGTTACTAGACAAAGGCAGTTTATTATAAGTAATACTAATAAATGTGAGAAAAGTAGGGGGAAGAAAAAACTGACTTCACGCAGGAAATTTTCCTACAAATATTTTTTTCCAAATTCAGATTCAAATTCCCCTGTCCGTGTATGCAAACAATTTTTTTTGAATACACTTGATATTGGCCAGTCTGTTGTAATGACTGCTCATTCCAAAATACAGATACAGGGGGTTGTAGAGAAAGATTTTAGAGGGAGGTCTGATGGCAGCAGAATTAACTCAGTACCAGACACAAAACTTAATATTGTCCGGGACCATATAAAATCTTTTAAAACAGTTGATTCACATTATTGTCGTAAAAATAGTCAACGCCAATACATTGATTCTTCTTTAAGTCTTAAAAAGATGTATGATCTATACAGTGATTATTGTCACAGTCATAATTTTGAAACTGTCCCTGTTCATATTTATCGCAAAATATTTAATACTGAGTTCAACATCAGTTTTCATAAACCTGTAAATGATCAATGTGATCTTTGCAATTCATTTTCAAATGCAATTGGAGAAACAAAATTGCAGATGGAAGCGAATTACAAAGATCATATTAGAAACAGCAAGCTTGCTCAAGAAAGTAAAGTTTATGACAAAAATAGGGCAATATCAGAAAGGGAAATAACTGTAGCATGTTTTGACCTAGAACAGGTGTTACAAACTCCTCATGGAAAATCGTCTGCCTTTTTTTTCAAAAGGCGACTCAGTACTTATAACTTTTCTATATACAACCTGGGTAATAAAGATGGACATTGTTTCATATGGGATGAAACCACAGCTGGTAGAGGTTCATGTGAAATAGCCTCATGTGTCTTTAAATTTATACAAGAAAGAGCTAATCAAGGCTGCAAAAGATTCATTTTTTATTCAGATAACTGCTCTGCTCAAAACAAAAATAGGTATTACATTACAATGCTATGGTATTGTCTACAAAAATTTAATCTTGAAGCTATAGAACATAAATATCTGGAAAAAGGTCATACCTTTAATGAAAATGATAGTATTCATGCTGCAGTTGAAAATATTACCAGACACTTAAACCTTTACACAACTAGTCAGTGGGCAGGTATTATACAAACAGCTAGACGCAGGCATCCATACAAAGTTCATGAGATGTCCTTGCATGATTTTTTTGATTTTAAACTTTTATCCAAGTGTTTGAAAAATTTTGACTTAAATGAAGAAAGGCAAAAGGTATTCATAAGTCAAGTAAGAGTACTTAAAGTTGAGTCTAATGAACCAAATAAATATAAGTTTAAATACGATTATGACAGTCCTGTCTTTGAAGTCGTAAGTCTAGTGTCACGTATTAGACGCCATATTGCCAGTGTACCTGACCCTAAAGACTTGAGGCTGGCTAAATTAAGAAATGACTATATAAAGATAAGTGCTGATAAATATAATGACCTTATTACTCTGTGCCTTGATAACATCATTCCTAAAGCAAACCATTTTTTCTATGCTTTTCTGCCACATGAAACTAGTGTTGAACAGCCACAAAAATAATGTGGCTTAAAAATGATGCAAGAGTCCTTGAAAAAATCCTTGTATAAGAAACTTATCAAGATAAGTGATTTTTTTATAAAGATTGTTTATTTAATATCAATGTGATGCTTACCCATTATGCATTTATGATAGAAATTTTGAGTGGTAACCACACTTTAAGCTAGTTCATTTGGGGTCAATGTTCAGTTCAAGTTTATATTAAATTGTGCTACTTATTATAGCATTAGATTACATGTATATGCCATAAGTTATAAAAATGTTGTTAATTATTGCATAGTTGTGTGTATTATAGTCATTCTAAAGTAAATCTCTATTATATTTCATGTATATTTTGCATCTGCTAAAAGCAGCTATATCTTGTGCAAAGTAGATTTGAAGTTAAGTTTTGTTTGTTAAATTATATATACTGAATATTGTAATATTTGTTGATGTTGAATTGGTGATGTTACTTCTGAATACTGTATTAACCTCTTAATAAGGAGTAGCTTTGGAACACTTCAATCATACTGGCAGTTTTTGTCCTTGATGTAATTACAATAAACTTGATGAAAATACACTTAAACTTAAAATACTGATTTGTTCTTCATAAGTTTCTTCTATCTTGTGCATAACATAATAGATAGTTATTGGAAATGTATTAAATCAAAATTATTGGATTTTAATGTATAATGTTAATTTCTGGTAAGTGGCAATTCATACTAGAGGAGTTCTATTTCATGATTGTAGTATAATTATTATTAAGTGACTATTGTTATAATGTTACTGAGCTTTATGTGTTCCCTGTTTTTGTATGGTTATGAAAATGCTTGAACAATAACAAAGTCCATGTGGCATTTCAAGCTGTAATATATTATTTTTGCATTATAATTGTGTGGTTAAGGTATATATGATTTACCTACATGTTATTCGGCATACATATGCATGTATATTACATTTTCTACAATGCTAAACTGTAATTTATTAGAATTGTATCACCTGGGCAATTGCAAATAATGTGCCAATTTGGCAAATTAGAATTTATCATATGCACAAAAAGTTTTGTATCAATTGTGCCACAAATCATAAAGGTCAAATATCAATTGCACCACTGTAATTGCAATTGGTAAAATGAAAATAGCACAGTGCAAAATTTTACTATTTCGGTGCAGATCAATGGTATGTGACAGCAGTGCATTTAAAATGCCATTTGGCACAAATGATATCACCTGTTATTAAATACTTTACAGTAAATTAGCATTGTAAATAGTAACATAATATTGACTTTTATGTGTGAAATTTTTATGATAAGTTAATTAAGCAAACAAATGTATCTGTAATGATGAATTTCTCAGATTACCTGAGTGAGGCGACCAGGTATTCTTCATAAAAAAGTAGTGAATACATTATAAATCATCATGTCCAGATGCATTTATTTGCTTTTGTTTTTTACATTGGTGAATGAAAGTATTGTATGATTTACTTAAAGATAAATTGCATACTTAATTAGCCAAAATTATCAATTCTAGTTAAAGTTTAATTGAAATAAAACATTTAAAATAACATTGTTTTTCATTCTTTCCAATGTTTGCAAAATCCCATAAGAACATGACTTACAGAAAAATGCTTTAGTATGTTTTTAAGTATCTATGAAGACCTGGAATTGGCTTGACACTGTTTAAGGCCTTTTTAACTTTTTATATCAAAGTTGAACATGATGATCAAAGTAACATGACAATCTGAAACCAAATTGCGGTTCGAATTGCTTTCTAAACCAATATTCCCCTAATTGTCAGTGATAAACTGCGAGTGATACAGATTTTATTTCACTAATAAATTTCATTGAATAAAATTTAACACCAGACTCAATTCTTTCAATTATTCCCCTTAGATAACTTTTGGAACTTTGGTTGAGCTGATCCTACCAGTATGTAAGTGACAATGACAGACTTTCAAATGTCTGCATTTATAAATGTGAAAACAATGTAACTGACATTTTACAAAAAAGATGGATATTATAAAAAAAACAGCTCTTTAGAACCAAAACCACATTAATTGAGGTATGAATAGTTGAAATAATAATCAAGAATAGCTGCACTTACACACTTTTCACATTTAATTTTTTAAACATTTTAAAAAGTTTTTTAGCGTGAAACTGTTCTAAGTGACGTTTATTATAATATTTTTTTCTGTGATGAGTGAATCTGAAGATCAAAACAAAGATGTAGGGAAAAAAGTTGATTTGCACATATAATTGTAGTATTTAGTTAAAATATACAGTAATAATAAATATAAACAGTTATTTCCTTCTCCTGCAAAATGTTTGCAAATGCACTTACACTAGTTTCGCTTTCAGCCCTCGATGGACGATATCATTGTACCGGCATTTACTTTTGAAGAAGAGTTGGAAAGACTTGAACATGTTTTTCAAAGACTTGAAAAAGCAAATTTGAAGCTGAAGCCATCTAAATGCGTATTTTTCAAAAAGAGTGTTAAGTTCCTTGGTCATGTCGTTTCCGAAGATGGTGTCGAAACAGATCCTGATAAAGTTAAAGTGGTCAAGGAATGGAGTCGACCATTAAGTAAGAAGCAGGTCAGAAGTTTTCTTGGTCTGTGCTCCTATTATAGACGTTTTGTTCATGATTTCGCATCCATTGCCAGACCTTTACACAGACTTTGCGAAAAAGCTGTGAAGTTTCAATGGTCAGATGAAGCTGAAAATGCTTTTAACATTCTTAAAACCGCACTTACAACCTCTCCTGTTCTAGCCTATCCAAAATTAGGTCAACCATTTATTTTAGACACAGACTCTAGTGATTTTGCTTCAGGTGCTATTCTTTCGCAAGACTATGATGGTACAGAGCGAGTGATCGCGTACATGAGTAAAAGCCTAAACTCTCACGAAAGAACATATTGCGTGACAAGAAAAGAATTATTGGCCGTTATTGTCGCACTTAAAAAGTTTCATACTTATCTGTATGGCCAGAAAGTATTGCTGCGAACAGACAACTCAGCTGTAAGTTGGATGAAGAATTTAAAGACACCAACCGGACAGATGGCTAGATGGATTCAAGAGCTAGGCGTTTATGATCTTACAGTTGTTCATCGAAAAGGAAGGAAACACACTAATGCTGATGCCCTATCAAGAGTACCATGCAAAGTGTGCCGAAGGTATGCGGATAAACCTGAAGATATTGGTGAGATAGAAGAGCTTGAACAATGCAATCTTGAAGCAAATTACAGAGTAATATCCAATAACAATGTCAGAGTGATAACGAGATCACAAACAGAAAATAAACATATGGCCGAACTGTTAGAAGGATGGGATTCAGAAACAATAAAAGAAGAACAAAAGAATGATGAAGACATCAGAATAATTTACAACCTTATCGAGAAGGAACAAGCAAAACCAACATGGCGCGAAATATCAGAAGCATCACCACATACAAAAATATTATGGGCACAATGGGACAGACTGTCCATTCACTCTGGTATGTTATACCGTAACATGGAAACTGCCAAGAAGCGGTCAACTCAGCTGATAGTTCCTAAAAAGTACAGAGACGAAGTTGTGAGACTTAATCATGACATCCCAACAGCAGCTCATTTGGGTCAGAAACCTACACTGAAAAGGATACAACAAGATTTCTTTTGGCCAGAAATGAAAACTGATATCAAAAATTACTGTGAAAGGTGTGACATATGTAGTGCTCGTAAACCGAATCGTAAATCTAACAAAGCTCCCCTCGGTCAACGGTTAATTGGTGGTCCTATGGAAAAGGTATCGATGGATATACTGGGCCCGTTTATCATGTCTTTAAAGGGTAATAAATATGTGTTAACTATATGTGATGAGTTCACAAAGTGGACTGAAGCTATAGCTCTTCCTGATCAAGAGGCCTCTACTATAGCTGATGCTTTTGTTAATAATTTCATTTGCAGATTTGGTACACCCTTGCAGATACACACAGACCAAGGAAGAAACTTTGAGTCTAAACTGGTAAAAGAAATGTGTGAGCTGTTTGCAATACACAAGACAAGGACAACAAGTTACAGGCCGCAATCCAACGGAACTGTTGAAAGAATGAACAGAAGTCTGACGAAGATGCTTGCAGCATACTGTCAATCAAATCAGAAACTTTGGGACGTTCACCTACCTCAAGTGATGATGGCTTACAGGGCTACTGAGCATTCCACTACAAATATTTCCCCAAATATGATGGTTCTAGGGCGCAATATAACTCTACCTAGTCAAGCCGTGATTGGAAGACCTGATACAGACAAGGACGAAAGGGACGTTGATAAATATGTTGCGGATCTTCAAGATAACCTTCGTCGATGTCACAGTATTGCCCGAGAGAATCTGAAGAAACAAGCAAAATATAGAAAGAAATACTATGATTCAAAAGCAAAGTCCAGAAAATTGGAAATAAATCAACCAGTGTGGTTACATGATACAACAAGGAAAATTGGTGTGTGCAATAAACTTACTAATAATTGGAAGGGTCCATATCTGGTGTTGAAGCAGCTTGATGATTTGACTTACCTGATCCGTGCATCTCCGAAGATGGTTCCAAAGGTGGTGCATATTGATCGTCTTCTTCCTTACCGAGGTTCAAATCTACCGAAGTGGTTCCAAGACTATAAACCGAAGAATAATTGATATTTACTGTTGCAAGCTTTAGTTTCTTTATTTTCAACTTGTATGTACATTCGCAATAAAATGGTTTTAACTCACCTATGTTCATTCACTAAGGAGTGTTTGAAGGTACGAAGGATGATGTTGGATTCGCCTTCGTGGTTCATATATTGGGGAATATATGATTACAGGACCCAAGGGGGGCTCTGTGTTCTTTATGTATATGTGGTATATACATGGTTGTCTAAGCCTTGTGCACAGGTTAGACTGTTAACTTACCTCACGGTTGTTATAGGTGGGTAGATGAGGTAACCATCAATCTTGGACTATATATACAAGCCTTAACATCATTCGTTATAGCAACAGAAATATACATGACGTTTACATTTAAGCGTATCAAACTTTTCCGTCAAATCAGCGCGCTTCGGAAGCAAATAACCCTAGACGTATCAAATTCTGTACCGTTTCAAATTCCGTAATAAATCGAGAACACGTATCAGAGGAATGGCTGGCTTATGCAATGGGAATCCATGTATAAAATATCATGGCCTAAAACTTAACAAGATGTTGTATACCTGTATTTTCAGTATGGTTCACAAATGCTGGTCCTGTGGTAAAGGTTTTGAGACCAAGGATCAACTCCGTACTCATTACATGAATAAACCACACAGATTTCTGGAGGTTATGTGTGCCTGGTGTTTTCAGCTGTTCAGAAGACCAGTAGACCTACGTTCACACGTTAATAGCAAGCATCGTTCTGTAGCCAAGAAATATGGGCCTAACTTTCCATCTGATAAGGAAGCTTTCTTTGCTGCAGTAGAGCCAAGGGCATACCGGACATGCGTAAATGGGACACCTGCTGAAGTTCCAGGCATACACGAAATGAAGGAGCTACTGTTGAAGTGCCCCTCTCATTCATCTGATAAGTGGCAACATGGTTGGGACAGGCACGGCCCTCTGTCTACTGTACAGTATGGATCATGTGAAGCCCGGGAAAGGTCGTATTCCCCTACGAGACCAGCAATGTGGACAGCTGAATCGTTGGAGATAGGTTCCTTTGTTTCAAAGGTTGTTGTGTTTGGTGGAAAGGGCGAGCACTACCGACTGTCTCTGGAAAGTGTTGAGCATAGGGTTCGAGACCGAATGATGAGAACCATGGCCGCCATCAGGGAAGCTCCATCATTCATTCCAAAACAGTGGGAAACTGTTAAGTCATTTCCAGATGTCGAGAAGATGTTAAAGCAGTGGGTCTGGATGGTATTACAGTGATCAAGGTGGAGAGGAGTCGATGGAAGCCAGCTGTTGATAGCCAAAGCCCACCAGCAAAGAGGAGATCAATCTCGCCATTCTCTACTTCTTCCATACTGTCAATGCTTGCTATTCTTTCACCATTACATGAACCAGACCTTGTTGTTTATGATGTAGAACCAGAGTTGCCACATAAACAGCCTCTTTCTCCGGTCTCCTCTATAACAACTTCAACTGAAACTGTAACTGTAGCTACGTCATCAACTTGTTCTACGGCAACATCAGCTATGCCTGACATCGTGTTATCTACTACTGCTAATAAGATTGTCCTCTCATCAACTACATTATCATCATCATTAACATCTGCTGCCACTTCTTGGTCTTCTTCAACTGTGTATTCCAGTGTTAACATGTCATCCACTCCTGCTCCAGCCACTATTTCTACATCAGCAAAGAAAAGATCAAAACACAGTGACATTGTATCTTCAATGGACAGTTCTACAACTATTCGCTTTCCGACTGTCACAATTGAGAAGCCAGCTCCAACTATTTCAACTTCTGTACCTGAATCTGAGAATAACCTTATTTCAAATGAAGATATAGCAACTTTACTTTTGATGTCTGGGGAGATGCCACTTTTCCCTCCAGCAAGGCGTGACTGGGAAAAAGTAGCTCCTATAGAGATTCCACTCCCAGGTCCCATCACCACTTGGCCACCAGAAGACTGGAGAACGTTAAGTCCAGACAATAAACTTCTTCTGTGGACGACAGTTGCCACTTCACTGGCTATTCACTGGGGTCTTCC